AGGAGCCAGGAAAGCTAGAAAGCTGGAATTTTAATGGGGTGTTTCCTGCCAGTTTTATCGGCCAATTTTAATTTTTTTAGCCAGAAGGATTTGCCGGAAAAAACCGATGCCGGAGGCAACAAAAACTGCGGGGAACAGCGCAAAAAACGCATCATCGCACGGACAGTCTGTGTGTTAGCCAATTGCAACTTGCATGTATGCAAAAATGCATAAAAATGACCAATATTATGGCCAGTTTTTCGGGAAAAAAGCTTGCGCTCCTCAAAAATGAAAAGGTGTCTGTCTCTGGCTGCCTGAGTTGGTGTTTCAGACGATATGTCTTTTAGCATAGTATATTGGCAAACTGATGGAATTTTGATCGGTTTTGTGGAAGCTGCGCGTACATGTGTCAGCAACTCGGTCATACACGGGCCGGCTTGTGCTACGGGGCTTTGCCCCGATGTTGGTTGGTCTCATCTCAAACTTCGCTTTATGCTAGTGATTTTGCAGTGCATAAGTGGTGTGCAACAATGCATCACGTACGATACACAGTTAATCCGGAATATGCTAGGATGTCGGAATTAGTTCCTGGACTGTTCATTTCTGGCGTCAGCGATCTGAATGTGGAGAACATGCAAAAGCATGGGATAACGCTGATCATCAATGCCACAAATGAGGTTTGCTATTCATTTTTGTGAAAACTAAACCAATCACAAAACTGCTAGAGTGATGCATTTCATTGTTTCAAAAAATTCGCTACTCTCACTCGGTTATGAATGTGGAGTCCGAAAGTTAATAGTGTGCAGCTCCTGGAATTCCCGTTTGCTAAAAAGGTGTTCCAGCAATATAGTATTTGTTTGATCAGTTTGGATGAAAGACAACAAAAATTTAAACGTGTCTTCATGCAGTTGGTCCTTTGCTACTCAATCCACATACGTTTTGTCGCACTACTGGCTTATGACACTCTGTAAGAACAGTCACCGCTCCCCCTAAGTTGCTGTTGTCCAGTCAAGGCAGCATCTCATTTATCAAAAGTATATGGAAAGAAGAAAAATGTCACCCAAATTTAGCTGGTTATGAATTTTTGTTTTCTTTTGTGAGGATGTTGAAACTGTGGACTGTGAGGGTAAGAACTTTGCTTTAGTTTTTCTCACGGCTTTCAGAAAATGCCATTCCCATTTCAGCTGCCGCAACTGGCAATTTCCGTACTTTGAATTCTCGTATTATCACTACCCATCTTTTGACGAAATAAAGAAAGGCAGAGGCTTCTAATCCATCTGGCATCAAGGAACTTGTTTAAAATTGCTCGATTCCGGAGACTAAATTTGATTAGAATTCTGTTTATGTTGTTAATGTTCTATTCTCTGTGCTCATAGATTCGTTTGGTCCACCAGGCAATTCTTGAGTAGTAAAGTTGTTAGAGCACACTGATTCCACTAGGTGTGATGAAACTAACCTCTCTATCGAGAAGTTTGTGGTTCATTGTTTTGTTACAAACATGGAACAAACACCGTCGGCCATTGCAGTTGATGGCCAGGTCGAAAATCTGCTCTGACCAATAAACTGGTTTGAGCGCAGGTCGGATCCATAAATATCTTCGGCGGCGTTGATAAATTCAGAGCAGTTGACAGTCAGGACATCATCTGCCAGAAACGGCAAAATTTAGTATTAGAGGATGCTGCACATGAGTCGAAATTCTAAAATGGACAGTATGAAATCGACGATATCAGGGCTAACATTACAAACATTACACTGTCATTGGGAAGCCCTGTATTTGCTTAAATAAAGTTGCAGGTAATCTCCTAATGCGATAAGTTAGGGATGGCGTTGCAGAAATTCGCAGGTGACAGGCATGCGAATTAAAGCGCTGAGCTCTGCGCATGATCATTTGGGAATTAGTAAAATTCAAATAAAATCTTTTTCTATCGGAGCTAGTAAGCTTGCTATAATAATTTTGGGAATTGAGGTTTTGAAATGTACTAGGTTACGATGCCCACTGATGAACAATCACCTTAAAGACCTGTAAGTCCATATTACTAGTACTGAAGGCGTGATTTATCAACCAGGGCTTCAAGCGCACAGAGTTTCTGTGTTGCAGTCGGAACCTCTTTTGTAAATGATTTGGATCGTAAAAGAATCGAATCTCTCATCCCACTTTTTATGCGTTTTTGGTGTTGTATGTGTGGGCGAGTGAACTTTGCCATAGCGTTGCATGTGTAGGCGAGTGAACTTTGTCAACCACTTTCAACTTAGCTACCAGGAAAGCTGGTGGACTGGAATTTTACAAGCCTCTTCCCAACACGTCATCCTTACAACCTAAAATGTTGTCGGTCACGTACGTCTGGACGAAAGTAGCAAATTTTGTGGCGAGGAAACGATTTCAAAAACTACACAAGCTAGAAAGCTGAAATTTTACAATGAGGTTCGCCGTCTGTGTGTGAATTAAGGATTTCAAATCCAGGTATAGCGCATGCTTACGCCACGTGTACAGTCACGCCAAAGTCTGCAGTTTGCACCATGCTGACTCGAAAACTAGTTGGAAAAAATAGCTGAAATATTGTCAAAATGTTTATTGTCAGCCTGGGAAATCGTATACCTAAAAAGAGTTCCGACTTGCGTTGGCGCTATGATTTAGGGTGCAGCAAAAGTACTTGTAGCGAAGCGGCTGTTTCGCTTACTGCGAGGCTGTAACTTTGCAAGGTTTTTCTACATTCATGTGTGATTTAAATACAGCCTGGAAGTGAAGTTTCCTGCATAAAGGCATGAGAATTATTCAATTTTATCGCAGCCTCAACAGCGAGTGCGTTTTGCGGATTTCTAACCCTTCTGTTCTTACTTCCCATACATTGTCAAATTTGCATTTTTAGTGAGCTACCGCTTACAAGACGTAGGCTGGAACGCACCAGGCGAGCCGGAGCGATCATGCGTTTTTGCACAAAACTTGAAT